GTCACTCCAGAGTTGCTCAATTGGGTTTAAGTCAGGGCTCTGGCTGGGCCATTCAAGAACAGTAAAGCTTCTCCTTTGTTATTTTGGCTGTGTGTTTAGGGCCATTGTCATGGTGGAAGGTAAACCTTTGGCCCATTCTGAGGTCCTGAGCACACTGGAGAAGGTTCTTGTCCATGACATCCCTGTACTTGGCCAAATTCATCGTTCCCTCGAATGTAACCAGTCCTGTCCCTGCAGCTGAAAAACAGCCCCACAAAATCATGCTGCCACCACCATGCTTCACTGTGGGGACTGTATTGAACAAGTGATGAGCAGTGGCTGGTATTGTCCACACATTCCACTTAGAATTAAGTCTAAAAAGTTCTATCTTGGTCTAATCAGACCAGAGAACCTTATTTCTCACCATCTCAGAGTCCTTCAGGTGTCTTTTAGCAAACTCCATGCAGGAGATGAGAGGCTTCTGATGAGCCACTCTGCCATAAAGCCCTGACTGGTGGAGGGCTGCAGTGATAGTTGACTTTCTACAACTTTCTCCCATCTCCTGCTGCATCTCTGGAAAACAGCCACAGTGGTCTTTGGGTTCTTCTTTACCTCTCTCACCAAGGCTCTTCTCCCCCAGTAACTCAGTTTGGCCGGACGGCCTGCTATAAAAAGGGTTCTGGTGGTTCCAAACGTCTTCTATTTAAGGATTATGGAGCCCACTGGGCTCTTAGGAACCTTAAGTGCAGGAGAGATGTTTTGTAACCTTGGCCAGATCTGTGCCTTGCCCCAACTCTGTCTCTGAGCTCTTCAGGCAGTTCCTTTGACCTCATGATTCTCATTTGCTCCGATATGCATTTTTCTTCTTCGAAGGATACGACAGCCTAGATGCGAAAAAGGCATAATGCTGCCACCACTACGACAAAACCACACACCACACCCTGCTACAGCTGCTCACCCCAAAGTGTGCAAGAAATCCAACAGCACCGTCACTCTCCGTCTGTCCTTCGTCTCCAACACTGTCCCGAGGCTGAACACGCTCACCCCACACCCCAGAAACCCAAATAGGGAGCACCGCTCGCTCATGTTCAGGGTTGGCTTTTAATCTGTCACTTTCAAGGACACATGGGCCACTATCTCCTGTTCCCCACAATCACATCTTTCATCCAAGTGTTTTCCTACCAATAACAGCGTGTTCCTGAGACCACAATGGCCCAGTCTCAAATCGGGTCAACACCCGAGCATCCCTCCTCCCAAAACCCAAGTCCAGCCTCTCACTGCCCCACTGACCTCTGCAGCCCATAAAAATACCTACCCTTCACCCCCTCATCCCAGGTCTGCCACAACCCCACTACCTCCCGGCTGATCACAACGCAATATCCGACAATCTGATCTCCCCTCCCAGTCCCACCACTCCATTCCCAAGTGAACCTCCGAGTCTGCCCCCTCATGAGCAGGAACCCACAGGAAACAAACATCACTCCCCTCCACCATCAGCCTGAACAATAACAACCGGACAGAGATGAGCAATTCTGGTCTGGACCTTGGGGATGACCCAAACAGTGTTGCAGAGTTGGAGCAAATGACTGCACATACTGGTCTTCAACCCTCCAATCAATAGTAATTCATTTCCTATCAGGAAATCCATATAATGTAGTTAAAAATCTTCAGCTTGTCCAAAATGCGGCAGCTAAAGTTATAATGGCTGGCTGCCTGTTAAATTCAGAATATATTTTAAGATCCTCCTTCTCACATATAAAACTCTTAACAATCAAGCTCCATCATACATCAGTGACCTGATTGTTCCATTCATTCCTAACCGAGCACTTCGCTCTCAGACTGCAGGTTTACTGGTGGTTCCCAGAATATCTAAAAATAGGATGGGTGGCAGATCTTTTAGCTATCAGGCTCCTCTCTTGTGGAACCAGCTCCCAGCTTTAGTCCGTGAGGCAGACACCTTGTCAGCTGTTAACTTTATTTTTCTCTGTGTTTTTCTCAAGGCACAAAATATCCACCAACTTTGACTGGAACATCGAATAATGGTCTCTTATCTGGCAACCAAATCAAAAACTTAAGTTGGGAATCACCACCCCCACCACAGCCCCACTCTCAGGTACCCTGGAGCTGTCCGTGATCAGCGACAAATCTCCAGATAACCCTCAACCTCCCCAGCCAGCCCATCCCCTCAGCCTCGTTCCAAGAAAAAAAAAAGGCCCCCCTCCGAATCAGAAAAAAGCCATGGCAGAACATCCGGCCAAACTAAGTGCAACCAGTGGCGGAGCTTGATATGTGCAACATGTGCAGCCGAACAGGGCGGCAGTCTGCAGGGGGCGGCATTTAATTTCCTTTTTTTTTTTTTCTAAAAAAAATTTTTTTTAGCATCAACCAATACATAAACAAAACATAGAAATCGCATGTTCTTAATAATAGTGATGATAATTATATTTCTGTAATAAAAGCACAACAAAGTGTAACCCATCAACTACTCCCTGTCACATGACCCACGTCAGCTGATGTGAGGTCCCTCTCCTGATTGGCTCCTTCCAAGTCGCGGCAACCATGAAAGCTGCTCCTGCCGTAAGCTTGTTGCTTGTAGAACGGCGTTGGAAAACAAAGCGTTTTTCCCCTCAATTCATTTATACTCTCATTTTTCCTCAGCGGTAAGTGTTCTTAACATCTACCAATAACACCCTTTTACTTGTCAGTGACCAGTCAATCGTTTTCGCTATAAAAATGACCTTGTTCGGCGGAGTTCCCACCGCAAGCAGAACTCCGGTTCAAAAACGCTGTTTTTGAAACACTTTTATTTACTTATGCACTGTAATGGGCTTAACTTGAAACCAAGAGCAATCGAATGATTATTGTTATGTGTTGCCTTGAATTCGGCTATGCTGTCTGTCAGACAGTTGTTTTCCTTTATTGTTGTTTTTGTATTTGTTTGTAGCAAATGCTACTGGAATGCATAGATTGAGCTACGTAGCCAAGATGATTAATAATTGACCTGTTGTACATTCGTGATATGTTTACCGGTAAACTGAATAGAACTTGATGTACTAATGAACGTTTCTCTGGCCTGCAGGTCAGGTTTTTTCCCCATGTTGAACTGATGTTCTTCATATTGAAGTGGCGAGCTGGTAGGATCATTCTTTCTTTTTGGAATCGGGAAATTAGCTATTATTTACCCCATGAAAAACGGAGCGGCAGCGGGCCGCTGGAGGTGCCCTGCTAGTATGATCCCGTTTAAACTGTAAACTGCCATAAAATAAAAACTATAATAGCTAGAGCGGTCTTTTTTTTAGCTGAAAGTTGAGACTCTCGCCTTTCAGCACATCTGTACTGTACAAGTCGATGATGCCATCATGTTGCGTTAATTTGTCTATTTCAGTAGAACTTTGACAAGTGGTGAGAAGGTGGCCAGGAGCTGGATGTTGTATTCAGTGAGCAAACGTTGTTATTCATACACTCCACACAATTTGAAACAAAGTTGTAGGTGTAATGTTTTTTCGTGTGTGTGTGTGTGTGGGGGGGGGGGGGGGTCACAGGGGGATCTCGCACAGGGCGCCATTTAGGCCAGCTCCGCCTCTGAGTGCAACACCACTGGTCAGTCCAGGAGGCCCAACCCCAACCACTCCGCCTGCCCCCTCAGCTTTTCAAGGAAACCCTCTTCAGTTCTCCCAACGCAAAACACCCAATGAGTCGCCAACAGGCCCAACGCAGTGGTCGATGCCTCCATGCCCTTCACCCTTAACATGTAGTGCAACTCAGGCCCTGTCCACACGTAGCCGAGGATCTGCCTGTCATCCACACGAAAACGGAGTTTTTTCACACGAAAACGGATCTTTTTAAAAACTCCGGCCAAAGTGAAGATCTGCGTTTTCTCCGTTTTGGATGTCTGCGTGTGGACAGACAAAACTGGTGTTTTAAGGTCCTTGATGTCACTTTCCGCGACAAAAAATGCTGACATCACGTGTGCGACTTGTGTTTACACTAGCCGACAGCATGGATGCCCTCAGAGCTGCGCTCGCTTTATCAATTGTCCAAGCGCTTTTTGCTTGTTTGTTTTTGCAAGCGGAATTACTGCTCCTTGCGGAAGACCACAGACGAAGGACGAGGTTAAGAACGGGGGAAGTACTGCCGCCTACAGGTCTGGCATGTCCTTAACAACGTATTTATCCGGGTACGTGTGGACAGTTTTTTTTAAACGAGGTGGTGTGGATGCAAGTTTTTGGAGGGGCGGATATTCGTTTAAAAAAAAAAGGCTACGTGTGGACTTGGCCTCAAGCTTAACCCATAACCAATATTCCAGCACCATTTCACCCACTTTCACCTGAAGTGCCAACACAGGAGTCGAATGGAAAGCCCCGTTGCACAACCTCAAGGCCGCTGCCTGCACCACACCCAGTCGCCGCAAGGCTGAGGGGGTCACCGAACCGTACACTAAAACCCCGTAACCCAGGTATGATCAACTCACACCTCTGGGAACCATAAACAGGTTGCTCCTGTCGGCCCTCCAATCGGTCCCTGCCATGACATGAGCTGTAAGGTCTTATATAGACAGGTGTGGCTTTCCTAATCGAGTCCAATCAGTATAAACACAGCTGGACCTCAATGAAGGCGTAGGACCATCTCAAGGATGATCAGAAGAAATGGAAAGCACCTGAAATAAATATGAGTGTCACAGCAAAGGATCTGAATACTTGGGACCGTGTGATTCATTTTTAATTTTGTAAATCTTCATACATTTATAAAATTCTGTTTTTCTGTCAATATGGGGTACTGTGTGTACAATAGTGAGGAAAAACTACATTTAATTGATTTTAGTAAATGGCTGCAATGTAACAGAGTGAAAATTGATGAGTTTCCGAATAATTTCTGTACCCACTGTGTGTGGCTTACAAAATAAATAGTTTTAAATATAATAGCCACAGTTTTTATGTATACAAAGTTCCCTGGTTCCATTTAATTCTCTACATTACAACACATCAAACTGGTTTAAAAAATAAAAAAAAGGTGCAACTAAAAATGATTCAAAATCATGTTTATTCTTAAAAGCATCATTTCAAGCTGAAGAGTAGCGGTTTTCTCTTTAAAACGGGTAAAAAATACCTAAAATTTATTGGCCATGTAGAAATTTAGCTTTAAAAGTTGAAACACGATAAATAGCTAAACACTGGACCTATTTTACAGAAATCATTTCAATACAAACTCTTATAATATTAACTGGGTCAAAAGAAATCAGTTTTAAAAGCCCGTTTTTGATGAAACATCAAAATCCTGAAGTTATCTTGTTATAAATAATCCAAACATATTGCACGACATACAGATAAAATGTGATGAACCTAGATTGACACTGAAGATTGATTTTTAGCCTTTGTACGTAGAACAACTGTTCCGACAGCAGATCATCTCAGTCAAGTTGCCATGAAGCTGATCAGATCAGATCCTGGATCCCGATCATGTTAGAGGGAGGACGGAGCGATCTACTTCGCCTCCTTCGGTCCAGAAGTTTCACCCTCACTCTGTTTCTCCTGGTTCAGAGGAAGGAAATGATCAAAAGGTTTAAAATACAACTTGGTGAGTGCAGTCAGTGTGTGTAGACTACCGTAGACGGTTGTGAGTAATATTGCTTCAGCAGGTTGGGGATGCTGACGAACAGAGCATTAACGATGACTGAAACCAGCAGAGAGAAGAGAGCGATGCCAGCGAGCACGGACAGCAGAGTCAGCCCTCCAATGAAAAACAGGAACACTAAAAAAAATAAATAAATAAAAAATTAACTGAGAAATAAGTTAAAAAAAAACAAACAAAAGAAAAAACACTCAATCCAGGAGCGGTGTCCAACCAGAAAGTACCAACCTTCAAAGAAAACAAATCCTACAGCTGAGATAACAAAGGTTGTGAGGGCAAACATGAGGAAGATTCCCACAGGCAGAACAGCCATGGCGCTGAAGAGCAGCAGTGTGAAAGCCAAGAAAGGTCTTCTGCTGATGTACAGTCCAATCCTTGTGTTCAGCAGCTGTGCAACCTGTTAAAGACACAACACAGCTGGTCAGAAAGGGATGCAACCAAAGGAAAAGTCAAGATACATAAATAACAAAATAAAACAGGTGAAAGGAGTTGGGATACCTTTGGATCTCCTTGAAGGCGGCTCAGAAGAGAAAGCCATCTTTCCCACAGCTGCTGAATTAACCTGCTGTACCTCATCTCAACACAACTGGATTAGAAGACAAGGAAAGAGACAGATTATAAACCAACCCTGAGACAGAGGATCAGCAGCAGGTACCAGCACAGGATTCAAACACTTAGCACAAATCTCTCCCCAGGACTTCTAAATAATTATAACTCATCAGCCAAGATTGGAATATCAACACAGACTTTGGGTTTTTATTGTGTCCTTATTGTGTTTACTGTATTTTATCAGTTTAGATTAAACACACGTCTGACCACAATATTAACTGGAATTGTATTATTTATTTGACTTACAAAATAAGCTATTCAACAATAACTAACACATTTTTACATCTTTGGTTTGAGATTAAATCCCAACATAATAGTCTACTGAATCAGGTGGTTTTTCTAAATCTGGGGTCTACAAGCTCTGGTTCAAGGGCCATTCAGGTTCTCTGTCCGCCAGCAGTAGCTCTGACAAATTAATTATATCTACCTTTACAACAAGCTTCATAATGAATTAATACAACATTTGATTAATTCAACTTCTGCTCGCCATAAAGTAAAAATGTAACAGACTTAAGGTATGAAAGAAAGACGTAAAAAAAAATTAAAAAATAAAAAAAACTTCAGAACGTGACAAAAACACAATAAAAATAATTCTTAAAATAAATTACGGCCTTTTAAAAATGTCAAAATATACAATTTTGCAAATGTAATTTCTATGGTAACCCATAATTTAGTGTATGAGTGTAATTTTTATTTAGTTTCTAAAGTTGGGCTGAGTTTATGGGAGTCATCGCTAAAACTGAAAAGATGCGAGCTGAAAGCCCACAGGCTTTTATCTTTTTGGTGTTTCTTTCTTTTAAGAATGGCGGCCAAAACAATCCTTTTCAACAAGACGTGATGAAACGTAACAAACGTAAAACACAAACCCTGGTGGAGGAGAGCCGTGCTCGCGCGCACGTCTCCAGAGAAAGCCAGAACGCTTTTAGGCTCAGACCCTCGGCTCACAGCTGAACTTTACATCTCTAAAGACAGAGGAGGTTTAATACTTACCCTAAAAAAGTGAAAACCTCGTTCGTTTGTCAGCAAAGATCATAAGTCAACGAAACGACCGTCTCTTATACACCATACTGATGAACACACCCATAAAACACACCTCCTTTTTCTGGTCTTCCTCCCCTGGAGTCTGGAGAGACTGGTTTGAGGCTTTGCTGCTGCCGCCTTGTGTTTATCTCGGGTATTGCATCCCAGAGTTCACCGAGGATTAAATAATCTTTTGGTCAAAAAAGGACAAAGCCAAGGTAGACGTACAAAATAATCATCTTTAAACTCAACATAAATTAATGCTTTTTAAATGAGTGATCAAGAAGTTTTCAGAAAAGTTGAAAATACTGCTAAATTGTACTAAAATCATAAATTTCATAGTCATAAGAAAGAGCCACTGGATAAATCAAACCACAATTTGTGAAATGTGCCTTCAACAAATATTTCAGCACTTCATTTAAACAAAAGTTGTTTTGCACATCACCAAAGCCTTTGATAAAAAATATATGAAATTGATAATTATGTTTCTTCAAACGTGATAGTATTTATGTACCAAGTCTGGTTTGATTTTTAGTAACACAAACATAAAAATCTGTTGTGGAACATGATGCAGCTGGTGCATTTATCCAGCTAAGGATTTTTGTTCATGCATTAGGTTCAAATTTAATCTAAATGGTGAAATGGTAAATGGCCTGTATTTGATATAGCGCCTTCTAGAGTCCTGGAACCCTCCAAGGTGCTTTACAACACAATCAGTCATTCACCCATTCACACACACATTCACACACTGGTGGTGATGAGCTACGATGTAGCCACAGCTGCCCTGGGGCGCACTGACAGAGGCGAGGCTGCCGAGCACTGGCGCCACCGGTCCCTCCGACCTAAAATGTGTATGCATCTGTTTTACATCAGAACTTCTCCCTGTTATATTTACACCCTGCATGTTTGGAGGGAATTTTGTTAAAAGTGATTTGGAGCTGAAACATCTCCTTTAAAAGCTTTTTTGTTAACTGAGCTGAGGTTTTCTGTAGTTTTCCTCTTGCAAAACTGAATTAAGACGGAAAATGTCACCTAAAACATTTTTATAACTTTGAAAAAAATACACAAGAAAATACATGCAACCTTTCCCTACCAAAGAATATATTTATAAGATAAATCAAAGAAAAAAAGTAAATTCGTAATTTTTTCACTATAATCACCAAATTTTAATATTTCTTTACTACCTGACCTTAAAGGCAGAGGCTGGTCCAGGTACGACTGAACTACACTCACTGGCCACTTTATTGGGTACACCTCTCCATATGGTCGATAACATGAATGACTAATCAGCCAATCACATGCATGGTGGCAACTCAATACATTTAGGCATGCAGATATGGATGTCTAAAGATGACCCGCTGAAGTTCACCAACTTCAGAATGGGGAAGAAAGGTGATTTACTTTGAACATGGCATGGTTGTTGGCACCAGAGGGGCTGGTCCAAAAATGGGGAAACATCCAGTGAGCGGCTTTTCTGTAGGTGAAAATGTCTTATTGATATCAGAGGTCAGGGGA